ATCCTGGCCTCCTGATCGCCATCATCATCACCACCACAGTGAGGAGAGCTGTGTGCCAGGGGGGTCATGTGGGTTGTTTCGTTTCTGAGTTTCCCGTCGCCACGGCTGGACCCGCGAATCATCGGGCTCCCGAGCCCTTCGCTCCTGACGCTCTCTGGGCGGATGGGGATCGATTCAATGACGACCACGAGGTTGCGTGGGCCAGAGCAGAGTTAGAGAGGTTCTGACCAAGAGCGAGGCAGGGCCAGAATGCCAAGCCCACCCGGTAAGAGGGAAACGAGGAGCAGAGTCGCCTTCATGGAGATCTTCTCCCCTCCTAAGACGGCTCCCGAAGTTGCTCGAATGGGTGGCTCCTCTGGGAGAACACTCCAGCCTCGACCTTCGCACAGGCTGGGACTCGCCGAGAACCGATCAAATTCAGTGGATGTGGGCTCAGATCCATCGTCGAGAACTGGAACTGATCTGGCTTAGCCCTGAGTGTAAAGAGTTTCTGGCCATCAACAGGCTGAATCGTTTTCGCTGGGACACTGAAGAATGGTCTCACGAGAGGAACCGGGGCCTCAGGGACCTCACTCTGTGTACGGAAGTGGCCCAGTACCAGCATTCCCACGGTAGGTTCTTTGCCTTTGAGCACCCTCTCTATGCGAGCTCGTGGAACACCGAGGTCATAAGGCTGGTGGCCGCGCTCTTGGGAGTACGTAAGCTAGGGATCGACATGTGCCGCTTCAACCTCCAGGTCGACTCCAGAGGGGTAAATAAGAAACCAACGGGGACCATGTCTAACCACCCCCACCTCCTGCGGACGTTGGTTGGTCATCTGTGCACCGGGAGTCATCGACACGCGATCCTGGAAGGGGGCAGCCAGACCTCCAAGGCGGGCAAATACCCCGCCGATCTTTTGAGGAAGACTGCGCAAGCCGTGTCGGAAACTTGGAGCGGGGCCGATCGATCCCGGAGGCCCGCGTGGGCCGAGTTCAGTGACGAGTCCTTCCCGGCGGCAGAGGCGGAAGGAGAGGGCCCCCTGCCCACCATTGCGGAAGCCGAGGAAGAATGAGACAGCGACGACAGCGGGGACGAGCAAGATACTCGACAGGTCAGGGGTCCAGCGGGCCCAGGGACCACGGAGGAGGTCGAGCCCTCGGAAAATGAGAGGCAACTCCTTTTCAAAATGCACGTGAACATGGGACACCCGGACACCAACACCAAGAAGTTTAGTCGAGTGCTGCGCGCCGGCGGAGTGAAGAGACATTTGATCAGGTGGGCGCAGCGTAGTTTGAAGTGCTCCGAGAGTCAGGAGACGAATCGTGCGAACAATCACCACTGTGTGGCGATGCCTCGCACCTTCCGTTTCAATCACATCGTTGGCACTGACCTTTTCTACTTGGAGTTTCAGGCTGTCACATATCCTTTCCTGAACATCGTTGATCACGGAAATAACATCCAGGTGCGCGTGAGGATAGCCGAAGCTCGCGCGGCGCAAGTCTGGGCCGGCTTCGTGGCTTGCTGGTTAAGGCCCCTGGGGGCCCCGTTCTTCGTGTTGACCGACGGGGGAAGCGAGTTTTGGGCTCGTTTTGCTAGAGGATTGGAGCAGTGGGGAGTCAAGCACCACGTGTGCGACGCTGACTTCCCGTTGCAAAATGGCCGTGTCGAGAGACACGGAGGGTGGATTAAAGACCGGGTAAGCTCGAGAACGAGTCTGGGAGTCAGATGCCCGCCAGTTTAGACGAGCTTGACACCCTGGTGCACGAGCTCACAGCACACAAGAATAGGTACTGGCACAGAGGGGGGTTCTCACCCTTGCAGTTCGTTTTCGGGAAAAACCCGCGTCGCCCACACGATGTTCTTTCGGACGATTCCCACGGGCTCCCCGGCTGGCAGGACCTCGTGAGGTCTCCCGCCGAGCAGGACGAGGCCGGCGCGGAGTTTGCAAGGGCGCAAGAGGTAAGAGCTGCGGCGAGAAGGTTGGCCATGGAAGCCACCTCACGTGAGAAGAGTAGCCGTGCCTCGAGAGCCAGAACTCCCCCCCCCGGGACCTTCACTCCAGGCCAGCGGGTGTGCGTCTGGAGGCACATGTCTAGAACGTCGTCGCTGGTGGATGCTCTCGGGAGGCGCCGCGACGGGTGGACCGGTCCTGGGGTCGTGGTGTTGGCGGAGCGGGGGACTGTTTGGGTGGCGGTCTGGGCCCGTCTCTGGAAGCGCTCTGTCGAAAAGCTCAGACGGGCCAGTGCGGATGAAGCGTACGGGATCCTTGCCAACAGCCCCCAGTGGCAGGAGCTGATGAGGCAGGCTGGGACTAGGAGAGCCACGGCGGCGGACGTGCCGAAAGAGGGCCTCCCTCCAGACAGCGCCTGGGACGATGCTGTGCGCCAAGAGGTGGATCCTTAGATACTCATTCTGGGGACCTTCCTGGAGCCACTCGCTCCACACATGCGTCGAAGCTGCAACGAACCTGAGTCGAACCTGAGTCGAACCTGAGTCGAGCCTGCGTCGAACCTGAGTCGAACCTAAGTCGAACCTGAGTCGAATCTGAGTCGAACAGGTCCCGAACGAAGTGAACCCTACCCTTTCCCTCAGAAATCGTTGGGGGTAGGGGTAGGGTTCGCATGTGGCCCCCTATCTTCTCTTCCCGAATCCAGCCGCGGGAGAGTTGCTGTCGGCAGCGAGCCGCACCGCTCCGTGAGCGAGCGTGTGCAAGCCATCGAGAGGCCGGCTGGCGAGAGGAGCCGCGTTCCTCAGCGACCAGAGGACAGTCGAGACACGCAGGAGAAAGGAAGGGGGGCCTCTGACTTTCTCATCCTCCCCGTCGGTCGTGATGAAGGTGTCCAGGTCAGGCTCAGGGAATAAGTAGAAAGATCAACAGTCGAGCTGGTCCTGGGCTGTTGTCTCCAATCGAAAAGTTTTCGCTGCTAGCCGGGGGGGGAGGTGTTCCTTACAAATCTGAGTCCGTCGGAGCGATCCAACTTCGAGATTGCTGACGACAAGGAATGTCAAGCTATGCTTGCCACGGGAGCGGTGGAAATTATCTCTCCTAAGGAGGCGGCAGTCGTGCGGAAGCTTCAGTCGGAGCGGATCGTTTCTAGCCGCATGGTCCGACGATGGAAGCCAGTGGAAGGGACGTTCAAAGAGCCACAGGCTAAGTCTCGATGGTGCGTGCGCGGCCATCGCGACCCAGACTCCGGGTCCCTGATGGAGTACGCCCCAACCCCCCAGACCACAAGCATCATGCTCTTTCTCCAGGTGGTCATGAATCTAGGCCTCCTGGCAGACATAGCAGACGTGAAGAACGCGTTCTGCTAGAGTGACCCCATGCGTCGAGACCAAGGGGAGATATATGTTGAACCATGCGAGGGTGCGCACATGGCCGAGGGCTCTCATCCGTCTGAAAAAACAACGTGTACGGACTTGACGACGCCCCGGTGGCCTGGAAGAAGACCGTCGTGTCGTTTCTCGAAAAACACGGGTTCACCCTGTCCCTCCTGGAACCTTGCTGGTGGATCCGCTACGGATCGAAGGGGGAAATGCTCAACATGGTTCTGCTGGAAGTCGACGATTTCTTTATACGGAGCTCGTCCTCGGAGACCCGCGCTTGGCTGAGAAAGACCCTCGGTTCGGGAAATACCGCGACTGCCAGGCCGGACCAAATGATCACCCTTGGACCGAGGAGAACTACCGTTGGCATGGATAACTACGTTCTAGAAGAGATCCGTCCGTTGTCCGTCGCCAAGGGTAGGTTGTCCCGGAAAGACGAGCCTCTCGGACCACAGGAGTTCAAGGCTCTGAGGTCTCTCGTATAAAAGTTCAACGGGGTGGGGCGGTAGACGAGGCCCGAGGCGGCGGGGTTGCTAGCATTCAAGCAAGTAGGCTGAAGTCTCCTACCACCGGGGACATCACTCTTGCTAACAAGTTGGTCAGGCACCTCGTGGCCTCGGCCTCGAGACGCCTGATTGCTTGGCGTCTGGACCCTCAAAAGATGGCGTTCGGGTCGCTCTCCGATGCTGGCGGTATCGACTCTTATGAGCAGTTGACCGACGCCAAGGGTCTTCCATAAGACCTGAACCAGGGAGCCTGGATGGTGCTGACGTGTGGTAAGAGTGTTGTCGATAATCAGTATGTGCGCGCCTCCATCCTGGGAAGGAGGAGCTCCAAACTGAGACGAAAGGTTCCCTCCACTCTTGCCGGGGAGACGCAGTCCCTCTCAGCCGCAGTGGCGGAGGTCGAATACCTCCAGGTTGTGTACCGAGACGTGGCCTTTAGGGACGTGGGAATGCGTGACCATCACAGAAGTTCTGGTCTTTGAAGACGGTTATACGGAGATGTTATAGTCTAGGGTCCAGAGAGCAACAAGTACATGTGCTTTCACGCCAAGTCTATATATGAGACTTATGTTGAAGGAGGGCAATTCGGAGGCTACATATAGAAGGACTGCTGTAGACCTGGCAATAATAGGTGAAGCCTTAGAGCGTGCTCGAGGTAGGGTTCGGTGGATACCTCACGGCCGCATGCCCGTAGATGCCCTCACGAAAGACGACGTGACAACATGTAACGCTGTTCTGTTTGACCTGATGACCAGGGGGCGGATAATCCTAGTAGACGAGGGGGCCGAGGTGGAGCGACGACGCGACGACCCGGCCCTGACGTGTCGATCTCAGGCAGCATCCAGAAAAACACTTCAGCAGGAGAGGGAGCTGTTCTCGTGGGCCGAGTTCCAGACGGCCGATTCAAGAGGAAGACGCAATGGTATGGTGGTTGTCGGTGGGTATCCCCCGTCCCTCTCCTCCCCTTCTCCCTCCACTAGCTGATGGCGCTATCAATGATCTGCCTGTTCCTTTCTGTTCTGATCTTTCCACTCTGCCGCGTGTTGGCACTCTTGTCCAGCTGCTGTCCAATAATTTACCTTGCCGTTCGTTTCACCGTGGTCAAGACAGTTGGTCCACAATGGGGACAGCTAAACCTAGAATAACAGTTTGGGCATGTGGAAGCATGCCTGTTTTTTTTTTTTGCTACACGCACCTGCCCAGCGAACGGCCTACAACAGCACACGATTCGGGACTCGCGTTGTCGTATTGTCCACCTCGGGCGAATTGTGAAGGTTGACCCCAACAATTTTTGTGACTCGTTTCGAGTGCCGCATGCAAAGCATTGCTGCCGAGAAGCCACCATTCGGCCAGAAATCGTCCCGATGGTTTTGGTTTGAATGGGTTCCCTGCGATATACAGTTGAAAGTCTTCAGGCCTCGGGTTGGGCAGCTGTTTGATGTAGTCGCAACGCGCCCACCAAAAGTTCCCCCTGTAATGGGGCCAGGTTGCACCGTCTGAGCGCTTTTCCAGCAGCGCGCCACAAGTTGCGAAACCATTCCTGAGGTGCTCGACGCAGTCTGCATATCTGTGCAAGACAAAATGCTGCATGGTCGAACGCCACTTGGAATCCTGCACCCACTCCCACTTGTACTTGGTGGAACCCTTCGAGTGCATATACAAGACGAAATTATTGGCGTCTCTGCCCCTCATGTATTCCGCACGACAAGACGTCCACAAGCCTTCGAGAGTCGGGAACTCGTACGTATGGTCCTGTCGGCGCCAGAACTCCTCAGCAGACTTGGAGGGCAGCGTGACGTTGTGCAGTTTCTCCCGTATGTCGCCATACTTTGCAAACAGATCGGCGTGTGTGCGTCCTGGCGTAGTTTCCCCTTTATCGTAATCTTGCCCCCACACATAGATTGCGCTAACACGCTCGATCAGCTTCGACGCCCGCAATGCCATGACCTGATCGTCGATGACATCTTGCGCGTGCACTCCTGGTCCCACTGTCCAGAAAATTGTCAATGTGATGTCTTTGGTGCCCGCCAAGTTCAGATTGGAAACCAGAGGTATGGTAGAGTTGTTCATGCGCTCGGCATTGCCGTGCGAAATCGAGACGTCGATTGTGTTCGCACATGGCTCTTCACGCTCACTTGGCACCAAACGCACAGCCTTACCAAGATGCGGAATCAATACGGTGACGATCAGCAGCACCACCTTCATGCAACTGACCGAAACTCTTTCTGCATACGGAGGGTTCAGTCCCTGAAGATTCACGGGAGGAGAAATGTGTGAAGCCGAAAGGCTTGAGCCAAAATGGCTACGGATGTGGAAGCATGCCTGTTTTGACGTAGGTTTAGCAAGTGGACGAGCACTCCGTTTCATATTTGGCTCAAGCCCAAAAGGCATATCGGGGGGATAGCTGCTGCCACAAGAGGCCTCCAAGACGGCCCAATAGTCCTCCAATAGGTCCTCCAGCAGGGCCCGAGGAGGCCAACATCATTACTTGTCCATTGGTGTTTGAAGGATTTTGCCCTTTGGTGCTTTTCTGCCTTCCGACGCCCAAGGCGGCCCAACAGGCCCCCAAGATCGGCGCAAGATGGCCCCAACGGCCTCCAAGATGACCCCGTGACGCCCCAACCTCCAGCAGGGCCCGAAGAGGCCAAAATCATTGATGTTCCATTAGTTGTTGAATGATGTTGCCCTTTGGTGCTTTTCGGCTCTCCGACGGCCCAATGCTGCCCAAGAGGCCCCCAAGATCGCCGCACGATGGCCCCAAATGCCTCTAGGATGACTCCAAGACGGCCCCAAGAGGCCCCCAAGACGGCCTCAAGAGGGCCTCAAGACTGCCCAAGAGGCCTCCAAGAAGCCCAAGATGGCCTTCAAGACGGCCCTGAAGTGCCCCAAGAGAGCCCCACGTCGGTTCAGGGAGACATCCCAAACGGCTTCGGACAGCGTCAGACGGGGCAGGAACGCCACAAGACTGCCCAAGAGGCCCCCACGAAGAACCAAGCCCCCAAACGGCCCAAGGAGGCCTCCAAGAGGCCTCCAAAAGGCCCGCAGGAAGCTCCCAGAAGACCCCCAGTGACCTCCTCCTCCTCCTCCTCGTCTTCCTCCTCATCCTCCTGACTCCTCCTCCTCCTCCTCCTGTTCCTCCTCGTCCTCCTCCTCATCCTCCTCTCAATGTTTCCCTACCCTCCACTTCTTCTTCTTCTTATTCTTCTTCTTCTTCTTCTTCCCCAGCAAGGTTCTCGAACAAATTCCACAACGGCTTGGGAAACATGGTCCGATAGCTTGGCAGAGCTCTGGCCACAACGGTCGGCCACATCGGGGGGGGGGGCGGCGGTGATTCGCGGCAGGCGTCTTCTATCCGCCGCCCCCTGTTGATTTATCACAAGAGTGCCTAGCATGCCAAACTACTTGAATCGGGGGCGCGCAAAGATGGATTAGCGATCCATGGATTTGGCGCGCGGTCGCCAAATCCATGGATCGGGGGAAGTGCCCTCCCCCAAATGCGGCCGGTGCCGCCTCGTTCGGCAGCGGAAACCCGTCGCGAATCCACGCCCCCAGGATCCATGCTTGTGATCGCCTGACTAAACGACAAAAAAATGTGTGGTTCTTGTCGAAGCTCCCCCTGGAACTTCGGTCCAATGCGCTGGCCGCCTGGAAGGCCGTGCCAGCCGCACCATCCGCCGATTTTGCTGTTGGTCCAATCGCTTCAAAGACGGCCAAGATGGCCCGAGATGGCCTCCAAGTTCGCCCAGAATAGTCCAAAATGACCTCCAAAACTGCCCAGGAGGGTCCAAGATGCCTCCATGTCCGCCCAAGAAGCCTCCAAGACGGCCCAAGATGACTCCAAGATGGCCCAAGACGACCCGAGAGGCTACCAAGAGGCCTCCAAGATGGCCGAAGAGGCCTCCAACAAGGCCTCCAGGAAGGCCCGAGGACGCCAACATCATTGATTTTCTCAGATTCTTGACGGATTCAGTGATTTGCTTCTTTGCGGCTTTCCGACGGCCCGAGACGGCCCAAGAGCCCCCCAAGATCGCCCAGGAGGCCTCCAAGATAACCCCATCACGGCCCAAAAGGCCTCCACGACGGCTCCAAGAAGCGCTGAAGACGGCCCCAAAGGCCTCCAAGACGCCCACGATGGCCCCCGAGACAGCCCTGAACCGCCACAAGAGGGCCCCAAGACGATGCAGAGAGGCCTCCAAGGCGGCCTCCGACGGCGTCTTCGGGGCAAGGAACGCCCTAAGACGGCCAAAGAGGCTCCCAAGAAGACCCCAAAGGCCCTCAAGAGGCCCTCAAGATGCCCAAGGAGGCCACCAAGAGGCCTCCAAGAGGCCTCCAAAAGGTCCCCAGGAAGCTCCCAGGAGGCCCCAGGAGTGCCCCAAGTGGCTCCCAAGACGCCTCCTCCTCCTCCTCCTCCTGCTCCTCCTCCTTTTTCCTCCCTCTCCTGATCCTTCCAACTATTCCTTCCCCTACGTGTATCCCGAAGGGCTTCCACAACGGCTGGGGGGAACACGTGTTCCAGGAGCTCGTCCAAACGTTGCCCAAACGTTTGGCCGCGAGGTGCATCCTAAAAGACAAGGGGCGCTGATTCGCCGTACGTAGGCGCCTTCGGTCCGCCGCCCGCTGTGTTTATCACCGGGATGCTTGACATGCTGGACGTTTTCAAGAATTGCCAATGGCCTTGAACGCATCCCTCCAGCCATACGGAAAGACCCATGCGACCCACAAAGGAGCTTCCTCAGCCTCCAAAACGCCAACGATGGCCACCATGACGGCCCAAGACGACTCCAACACGGCCAAGATGGCCTCCAAGTCGGTCCAATATGACTCCAAGACGGCCCACGATGCCCTCCAGACGGCCCAAGGGCCCTCCAAGACATTACAAGAGGCCTACAAGAGAACCTCCAGGATGCTTGAACTAATGATTTGCATCTTTTCACCGAATTGTACATTAGATTTTGCGCTCTCACTTTTTCAGGTTTCCGACATCCGAATACGCCCCCAGAGGCCTTCAAGATGAGCCCAAGACTGCCACAGAAGTCTCCAAAAGGGGCCCAAGGCGGCCCAAGATGACCCCAAGACGCCTGAAAGCTCCCAAAGAGGGCCCTGAGACGGCCCTGAGGGATCCCAAGACGGCCCAGACGGACCCCCAAACCCCTCAGGGACGCCCGCGGCCCCAAAGAGGCCCACAGAGCCCCCAGGAGCCCCCCAGGAAGCCCCTAAAGGCCTCTGCTGCCTCCTCCTCCTCCTCCTCCTCCTCCTCCTCCTCCTCCTCCTCCTCCTTCTCCTCCTCCTCCCTCTCCTCCTGCCTTTTCCTCCTCCAGCATGTGTTCTCCCACGGGTCTCCACTGGCCACAGCGGCCAGGGGAACACGTAGTCCAATAGCCTGGCAAAACTTCGGCCCGACGCTTGGCCACATAAGAGAATCCGAGAGGCCGGGGGCGGCGGTGCTTCGCCGCAAGCTTCTTCGATGTAGACGTCGTGCCACATCTGTCGCGTCGCAAACTGCGTGTCCACACACGCTGACACAGAACACACGCGCCGATCAAACCGACTTACAGTCAAACCAACCGATCTGCCGACTTGTCGGGTGTACAGGAGATCTGTCATTGCGAATACGGGCATGGACGATGGGGCGGTGACTCGGCGCACGCAGTCATCGCACACCCGACCACACGCTCTCAGGAGCGCGTTTCTGTATGTCTGGCGATAATGTAACGCCTTCCCCCCGCCTTGTGCCCGATGCGCACGGCGGCAGTGCCCGGCGCGCATTGGGGGGAGGGGCGTTACGTTATTGGGGAGGGGGCAATGGTGCCCACTGTGCCCCAAGCAAGAAAGAAACACGCTCTCGGGCTCCGGCGGCGTCAGAACTCAGAGCCCCACACGCACGCTCTTGGCGCTGCGGCCACGCGCGCAGCAGCACGGCAGAGTGAGACAGGCGGCCAGACTCGGAAGTTGAGTGCGCGCGCGCCGGGCCCGCTGCACAACCCACGGGGGGGGGGGGCAAGCCGTGAGGGGGCGACGGACGGCGGCCGACGTGGGCACCAAGGGGGAGCGAGAGGAGGCCATGGGGACCGCTCGAGCAGGGACCGACCGTCCCGGCATTCCTTTCGGCCTACCACGACATGTTCTCAGAACCTCCCAAAGTTCCGAGAACAGGAATATTGTCCTTGGAGCATACACCCGATGTATTGAAACAGGACGGTCTTGGCCAGAAAAGTTCTAAGAGCATTTCGCACAGACCACACGAGGTTCTCAGAGCATTGTTTGCTGGGCCCGTAGGCCAGCCAGGACGCCTCGCCACTGCCCGAACCACATCGGATGGGTGGAAAGACGGCGCCCGAGCGCAGCCAGGGGACAGTGGCGGACCTGCATGGATCGACACGTTCGGCGCAGGGGCACGACAGGGGGTGCAGAGGCAAGCCGGGGCAAGACACGCAGTCACACACATGCACATGAGCGCATACTTGCACGTCCAGCTACAAGCCACTGGCCATACCAGTGAGATCGTGATGTTGCAGTAGGAGTAGGGGCTCGACCACAAGAAGCCTTCCGCATGGAACCCAACCCTGAGACCCCAGGACGTCCGTTGGTTTTTGGTGTGGGCACGCCGCGTTCTCCATTGCAAAACCGTCGAAACCCGAGAAACCCAGGGCACCCTGGAGGCAGGCATGGTGTTTCTTGGCATGGGTCTCCACTGTACGACGTTACTCTGGGCCGAATCCCCACACACAAGAGCCCCGGGGCCCCGAAGCTCAGGGCAAACTGCACGGCCGTCGTGATTTTGCCCACAACGCCAGTGTTTGAGGATTTACCACTGCACCTTCTTCAAGAGGACTTCTTGCTCGACTGGCCCACCCTCAGGCGCTCTTTCCTTAGAAGAAGAAAACGAAACATAAACCGAACCTTTTGGCGCTCCGCGTATTTTTTTCTGGAGGCCTTGGAGGGCTCACCACTGTACCTCCCTCCAGAGGGCTCCTTGCTCGACTGGCCCACCCCCGGGCCTCCGAACGGTGTGCGTGCACTGCCACCCGGAGCTTGTACCACAGCGCCGCGAGCTGCCAGTGCGAGGCGGCCGAGACCTCCTTCACGCTGACGTTGCTCATCCTCGGCTCGTCGATCCTGGCCCGCGCAGCGGGCACGGGGGAAGGGAGTGGAGGTCGTCGTCGTGGTGGTCGTGGCCGTGGCCGTGGTGGTGGTCGTTGTCGAGCTCCTCCTCGAGGGTGAAGAGGCAGAGGCGTCGAGGAGAGGAGGAAGATGAGGGGAGGATCGGGTCGAGAGGAGGGCGAGCGTGAGGAGGAGGGGGAGATGAAGGCGGGGGGGCCTCTCGTCCTGCTCCTCCAGTCCGGGAGACGTGAGGCTCGGGTGCGGGGAACTCGGGCTGGCCTGATGGGGCCATCATGACCAGGGCGAGACCCAGTCTGAAATTTGGCGCGAGCTCCCGCTGCAGACATCCGACGAAGACTGGACCGCCAAAATCCACGACGCGCTCGTCAAAGAGCGTCGGCGAATCCGAGTTCCGGCGTACTCGAGTCTTACGTTTCCCCGATCCAGGAGTTGCCAGGGAGCCACGCCCCCTCCGACTCGAGCCACACATGGACCACACCCGCTCCCGCCGAAGAGAATAGGACCACCACGACCGCAAGCCGAACACGTGAAAAATGAACGGGCCCTTCGCGCTCGCGCGCACCTTCTGGTCTGTGACCGAGCAGGGCTACCCATCGGTCGTTGAAAGTAGGAATGTTTGGATTCCCATCTTCCAATCTACTTTAAACGCCTTCCTACTTCAAGGATCGAATGCTTTCACGTTTTCCGTCCTCTTCAGGGGGCGGGCGGCAACCCAATCTACTTCCAACGCCTTCCCACTTCATGTTTCTACTTACTTCTCCCGATCGATGGGTACTCTGTGCATAATGTGTGCATGCTGTAGATGCGGTTGGGATGGGGGCGGTGAACTGTACAACATGTGTTTAGACACGTGCGCCCGTGGGTGCGCCCTGGCCTCGGCCCCGGCTGCTGCCACAGTACCCGCTGCCTCGGCGGGCCGCACCGGCCTGCTCTGCGCGGAACTCTTCCACGCCTGAGCGCCTCCCCTCCCCCTCCCCCTTCGCGCGGCCGCCCTCGTCTTTTTCCTCCTTCCTGCACGCCGGACAATTCGCCTGTCGGTTGCCCCGAATAGCCCCACGCTGGAGCGGACTGCCTCTGCCTCGCCGCCGACGAAAAAGTGTAGACATGTGCGGGAAATGTGGTTGTGTTGATGCGGGCGTGAGTCATGGTATGGGTATGGCTACGGTTCTCTGGTGGGCTCTGGACTTGAAGCTTGTTATCCGGCCTGAGAACTGCGTGAGCATCGGCGCACGGGCAGCATGGGTATGGAGATGGATCGGGGTATCGGGAAAAACCGTCTGAGGGGATTGTACGGATGCAATTTTGGATGAACTCATCAATTCCTCATCTTTCTGCTGCTGCCAGTCCTCCTCCGCTTCCTCCTCCGCCTCCCTTCCCCTCCCCCCGTCCCGTCGGTTATCTCCTGACGATTGTGAGAATTGCATTGAATAGTTTGGTCCAGATTCAACGAAAATGACAAGACGATGGTGGCCGAAACCTTGCTTCCAACTCGTGTGTCGTGATAGAGAGTTTGCGCCCCCGCGGGCCTTGTCGCCAGGTCTTCTCTGCTGTTTGTTGCAATACGCGGGGGGCGGGGGCGGCCAAGAAGCTACACTGTGGGTTCTAGGAAAGCCTTGGCAGGGTCCCATAATTTTTGGGGGCCAATCATGCACGTGGTGTCCGCTCTCGACCGGTTCCAGGCGGTCTCTCGAGTTTCCTGGGGGGGCCCTCAGATCGGAAGAGGCATCGCGCATGCAGGGTGACGGATACTCTAAGGCATCGCTTAATTGCCCACCTTACGGATTATAGGAGGCCAGAGTGCTAGGACTGGGTCTTACAGCACGATTCCAGACTAACTGAAAATGTGGCGCAGAAAATCAACGCAACAGACCGCGAGCTACGCTCGGAACAACGACGGGCCGGACACATGAACGTGTTGTCTATTGGACCCGCCGTGCGTACAGGATATTTTAAACTAAAGGACTTCAATATCGTCATGGTGTACAGCAGCTGTTTCTTAGCCTTCGCTTCGGGACAGAGCCATAATAATGGCAGCCTTGGCGCAGGGCGCCGCCTGTTCGGCACTGGCGGCCCTTCTTAGTCGGGGCTGCCGTGGCAAAGGCGGTCAGGTCCAGGACGAGTGACCCCTGCTGTTGAGGGGGACAAATACACAGACACAATTGATCGTCATCGATTCCCAAGATGATCTGGGAAAATATCTACAGTGGGGGGGGGAAGACGAACACCCAGAAGCGATGGACAAATATAGGGAATCCTGGGATCTGTGCCCCTTCAGCTGTGCCGATAGAGGAACGCAACAAAATGGACAGACGTTAACTTCTTGAGGCCCGCGAGATTTTCTAAGGTCTCCGCTGGGCTTTCCCTGCCTGGCTCGCAAACCGAGCCAGGGAGCGGTGCTAGAGACTCTGCCGGCGTGGCCCAGCGCGGACCCAAAGGCATCCGCGACGACTACCTCAAGGGCCCTCCAAATTCAAAAATCGATGTGGTTTTGCTGTGTTTCGTTGCTATCTGGGAGGGCCTGACCCTAATCTACCTTGTTCGCCTTCCTGCTTCATGTTTTTACCTACCTCTTCCGACCGACGTGCATCTCTCATGAGCCCCGGGGTCTGATAGCGATCCCCTGCGGCCGAGCTCTTGGGCACCAATCCACGCAGCACGGGCCGGAGGGGCTCTCGGAGAGGAGCGGCAGCAGCAGCGTGCCTGGCCCGGGCTCGCCGGGCACTCGCGCGCGTCGGCACTGGCCCGCCGCGGGGCTGCTGGCAAAGCTGGCAGGGTCCAGGGGGCGTGGTCAGCAGTGTGCGGAGGGAAGGAGCGGAGGAAAAGATGAAGGGATGCAGAAGGAGCTCGACCGCAAGACACCTTCCACAAGAAACCCAATCCTGAGACCCCAGGACGTCCATCGATTCTTAGTGCGGGAACGTCACGCTTTCCATAGCAAAACCATCCAAACCCAAGAAACCAAGGGCACCATGGAGGCAAGCAGGTTGTTTCTTGGCATGGGCCCCTACTGTAGGGCCGATGGGCCAGATCCCCTATATGTTCCTTCTTCTCTCCTTCTCCTGCTGTCGCCGATGCTGCGGGCGCTCGAGACTCCATGAGACGCCACACTGCCCCTCTCGGCCTGGGAAGCAGAAGGATCAAGTGGCGGACGACCGATGGCGACGGCGTCGGCGGCGACGACGACGACGGCCGACTGTAGCGGCAACTCTGACGGCGGCAACGACAACAACAACATGTGATCTACCAAACCACTTTGTCTTTCATGTGATTTCCCATCTCCCTTTTGCACCCGCCCACCAGGTCTACGAGCCACCCCGTTCTAACTAATGGTCCTCATTTCGTTCCGACTGGTGGGAGAAGCATTCAGCAATGCTCGCAATGTGCGCTCCGCGCCAGTATGACCGTCATGTGAGCCACCGCGCCCGCGGGCGACTCACCACCTTGTGTGAAATGCGAGAAAGTCTGGATTGGCCTGTTTCCCACCACAACCACCATAAGTTGGAGGGGGGACGGAGGAGGAGGAGGAGTAGGGGGAGGAAGAGGAGGAAGTGGAGGAGGAGGAGGAGGAGGAAGTGAAGGAGGAGGAGAAGGAGGACCCCCTCCCCCTCCAACTTCTGGTGGTGGCGGTGGAAAACAAGCCCATCAAACCTCGATGCAGAACGCCGTTCCTGAGATTGGGGGCCTCCCGGGCGTCTCAGGATGCACGGTGAGGAAGCCTTGGGCGGGAACCGTTGTCGTCAGCGCCGGGCTTCCAGCGGCATCGAACCCATTGCGAAGAAGTCTCGGGCGAGAGCGCCCTCTCCTGAGTGCGAGAACGCATATCACCAGTGCGTCCGTGAGGAAGTACCAAGCCAGAGCCGTTGCCGTAGCTGGGCCCCCCACCGACTTCAGTGAATTGCGAGGAGGTCTCGGGCGAGAGGGCCGCTCCTAAGCTCGGGGCTCTCTCTGGCCAGGCCGTCCCGAACAGAATGTGAGGCAATATGGAGCGGACGCCGTTGTCGTCGTACTTGGACCTCCAATAGCTTGACTGACTTGCGAGGAGGTCTCGAGCGAGAGCGCAGTGCCACAGTGTTGGGCCCTCTCTGGCCAAGAGGTCCCGAAGTAAATTGTGAGCAAGTGAGGAGCATGAGCCGTTGTCGTCGCACTTGGGCCCCCAACAACACACCCACACACAGTGGTCCCCAACCCCGCGCTCGAGCGAGGGCCCCAATTACAAAGAACGTGTTGCTGGCGCCGAGGCGGGAGCGCGTAGAATCGACTCCAGAGATTAACCATCATTGTTCTCTAGACGTGAGTATGGTAGCCAACGTGGAACGCAAACAGTGACGTCTTGCAACCTATGGGGTGCAGTCTAGGTGTTACAGTCAATGTGGTGCAGTGTAAGTGGTCCAATCCATGTGGTGTAATCGATGTGGTGCACAGCAAATCAAAGCGTTGCAACGCAACGCAAATCAACGCAACACGAAGCAAACATGCAACGGCTACACCATGCAACGCCATACCATGCCATGCCATGCATCGCAATGCAACACAATGCAAACATAACACAAAGCAAGACACTGCGGACCCGTGCAGAGCAGTGCAGCGCCATGCGATGCAGAGAGACGCAGCACGATGCAGAGCAGTGCAAAGCAGTGCGGTGCGATGTCAATGCGATGCCATGCGGTCGTCGTGCAGTGCGACTGCCATGCGATGCGATGCGATCGCAGGGCGACGGGGGAAGGCGCAGCGGGGCGGCGGCGACGGGCGGGAGCGGGGCCGCACACGGGCGGGCCTTCACAGGGCAGCACTGACTGGGGTTAGGTCGGGCACGTCCACTCCCGCGGGCGGATCTTGGAGGAACAACGGAACACATCGAACGATACTCAAACACAGCCAGCCAACAATAAAAACATCGTCCCTAGACTAATGTTTGACTCTTTTTGACGATTCCTCCTGTAGAGGGGCATGCCCGACTTACCACTAGGGTGGCGATGGACAGGAATGGGGCCGCCGGGGCCGCACCCAAACTCAGTTCCGTAGAAGGCAAGTCGGAAATCGAATTACACGAATGCAGTAGTAGCTCGACCACAAAAACTCTTCCACAAGAAACCCAACCCTGAGACATCAAGACGTCCACTGACTTTTGGTGTGACTTTTGGTGTGAAACCATCGAAATCCAATAAAAACCCAGGATGCCCTGGAGGCAAGCAGGGTGTTTCTGGGCATGGGTTCCCACTGTACATGAATATTGGGAAATTACACGGATATCCGACGACCAACGACCGACGGCCGATGGTCGACAGCCGACGGCGACGACAGCGGCGGCGACGACCGACTGACGGCCGACGACTGCGGCGGCAGCCACAGCGACACCGCTCCCCTCCCCGAGAGGTGCCTCTGCGCGACCGCAGCAAGGTCCCCCCAATACTGGGCCAGCTCTGGCGAGCCCGTCTCGCGGCCGGTATCCTGAAGCACCTGGGGAGCTCGTCGTCGTCGTCATCATCGGCGTGGACGTTGCCTTCGCCGACGTGGAAACATGGAGAACATCTTGAGTAAAACACCGAGGCCGCGCAAGAAGCCGCTCTAGGTGTAGAGCCCCGAAAGCACATCTGCACTTTTGGCCGCATCCTGGGATCACCATAATATATGCATGTACGCAATGCCAAATACATCTATAAACATGTTAACCAGCGTGGACCCCAACCGTGAGTCGTTGCACTGAGGTGAAACATGTGCGGTGTAAGCCATGTGGTTTAAGCTAGGACTTGTAAGCTCTGTGGTGTGAGCGATGGGGGTTAAACTCTATACACTGCCACATGTGTGGTGTAAGCTATGTCTTGTAGTCAGAGTGAAGGGGCCGAACGGTCATTCACTGTCCCTGGGCTCGTGGCTGAAGCGGGGTTCCGCAGTTCGGATTGTTGTTGTTGATGCTGCTGAGCATTCATTACTAAACACTTGTTCTTGTTGGACCCCTACATCCGCCCTGGCGCTCTCGCCTCGGCGCCGGCTGCATCTCCTTTGAAATTGAGGCTCACGTTTAAGCGTTTCGGGGTTGAGCCCAAACGGGCCCCCCGACAACATCAACGCTCCCGTGCGATACTTCCTCACAGTTCACTCCGAGAGGCCCTGGCCAGAGAGGGCCCGAACCTCAGGAAGGCGCTCTCGCCCGATATTTCCACGCAATTTAGCACCACAAGCGGGTCCTTCAGAGCAGTCTTGCTGCTACTTGCGGATGCCATAACGGCCGTTTCGCCTGAGACTTCCTTGCAATTGCACACCACAAAAGGGGGTCCTTCAGAACCAACTTGCTGCTACTCGCGGATGCCGGAACGGCTTTTTCGCTTCAGACTCTGTCGCAATTCAGCGCCACCGCCAGCGGGGTCCTTCAGAACGTTCTCGCTGCCACTCGCGGATTCCGGAACGGCCGTTTCGCTGGACTTCCTCGCGAGTCCTGCTCCCTCGGAAGCCGTCAGAGCAGTCTTGCCGCTACCTGCGGAGGCCCCAGGACGCTCATGGAACATGTGTTCCGGGAGCTCGCGTCGGCCCTGCCACCCCAGGAGGCCCCAGGAGGCATTGCTCTGTATCAGGATATGTGCTCGGGGACTCGCCATCGCTCGGACGTCCATTTCCCGTACATTTTTCGGTTTCGTGCGTGTTTTTGTTTGCTCGATGGTCCAGGATCGTCCTCAATGGTCCTCGCCACGAAACATGCACACGTCCGAGCGATGCCAAAGGGAGCGCTTTTCGACTTTCCGTATTGGGATAATCGGGGAGCGCTGTTCGCCCCCCAGACGCCAGGATGCCCCCAAGAGGCATTTTTCTCTGTATTGGGATCCGCGTTCACGGAGTGCTTTTCGGGCCCCGCGTAGGCCTTGCCCCCACAAGCTTTGCAGCCCCTCTGCTGGGGTTCGAATGCTTTGTGTCTTACGTACGTTCCTATAAAAGTGCCCCCCTCCTGGGGCTCGAATTTTCTGTCTCTCTCTGTCTCTCTGACTCTCTCATTCTATCTACATATATATGTATATATATATATATATATATATATACACGCCTTGCCCCTCGACTGGGGCTCGAATCCTGTGCGTTTTACGTATATTACTACAACTTGCCCATCGAAACCAGTGTTTTACGCATGTCATTGGGGCTTGAGTCCTTCTAGCTTCCATTCCTGATCGCTCCCAAAAGCCGCACTGCCGTTTTAATGTGTCGTGAGAGCTGAACGTGGGGAAAGTAACTCGGAAGAGGTGCTGACTCGACCTTCTTTCCATCATAGCTTGCCAATAGAAACATCATAATGAATTCATGTGGCACGTTGAAGCATTGCGCATGAGGGTACCAAGATTGTGGTTGTTGTCTTGCTGTCGCTGTTGCGTTGAATAATCACGTATCCTATATATATATATATATGTATGGTTGATCCCCCCTACAAGCACCTTGCCCGTTTCACTAAAAATCCCCCGCTGGGACTTGCACCCAGATTTTTGCAACAAAAAAAAAACAAAACAAATCCTGGGGCTCACATTGGCTTCCGACCCATAACGACAACAACAACGGCTCCCGCCAGAAACTGCTTCACAATTCACTCAAAATCGTGCTCTCGCGCGGGACTTCCTCGCAAATATTGAGATTCCGCGCCCCCAACACTCAGGAATCACATCCTCGCTCTGGACGTCCTCACGATTTACTAAGTAATCTCGCTATCGTCAGAGACTCCCTCGCGATTGATGCAAAACTGACGCTTCGACGGTCCGACCGCTCGACCCGGCCGTCCAGGCCCGCCCGCCCGACCTGCCCGTTAGGATCGGCCCGCCCGACCCGCCGTTCTGGTTGTGCTGCTTGCTGTCATGCCCCTAGCCTTCCTCATGCTAATCTCTCTCGTGCTCCACATGCCCCTAAGGGGGGGTGCGATCGAAGACGACGAGGCCGGGTATCGATGAATTGGCACATACGTGTTGAATGATACGCAAGCTGCTGAGAACGATCGCTCTTACAAATATTGCTGTTGACTTCCAACTTCTAAAGAACAATTCTTGTTGATCCCCCCATCAGGTGCCCCTTGTGTTTTTCCGTTGGAATGCTTCTCCCAGGGCTGGCACGTTGCATTTACAAGGGAAGAACCAGAGCCTTTTGCTGCTGGCCCCCGGTTCACAACAAGAGCTGCTCCCGCCCAATACTCCTGCGCGCAACTTGCTCACACTCAAACTCTCGCGCGGGACTTCCCCACAGAGCGTCCAGGAATCGCGCCCTCGCGCGGTGCTCCCGTACCATTTATCGAAGCGCCGCGCCGCCAACACTCGGCGAATCAGGCTCTCGCTCTGGAACGCGCTATCGCTGGAGACTTCCCCGCGCTGCGTGCACAACCGACGCCTCCGCGGCCCGCGCCGGCCCGCTCTTCTCGCCCCGGCCCGGCCTGTCCCGCTCCCGAGTCCGCTCCCTGCTCCCGAGTCCGCCTCCTGCCAATCTCTCTCGTCCTCCGTCCTTGAAGGGGCCCCAGGACACACAAATAAATAGACACAAATGAAAGGATTCCCAATATTTTCTAATACTTTCTGGGTTTTTGTCTTCCCTCCTACTTCCCATATTTTCCCATATTTCCCTGGGGATCAACGATGACAAATGTGTCTGGGTGTTTTTTTCCCTCCTGAATCCTGCTCTCTCCCCGCTGTCCCCTTCCCTTCTTACTTCACCTGCTTTACGGGCTGCGCCAGCTACACGTGGCAGGTAAGGAGCATACGCTCCCGCCGGATGTGATCGATGACGAGGAGGGCGGGCACCAAAGGTTTCGGACACACATGCTGGATGACACGAGAGCAAGTAAGGTCGAACAATCTTAGAATATGTGCTGTCGTCGTCGACCTCGCCCGCGACCCGCCCGCGACTCACCCCGCGACCCACCCCGCAATCCACCCGACGAATCACCCCGCGACCCACCCACACTGCTTTGACAAACATTCGGAGCCTGCCGCGGGCTCGTTGTGAAATGCGTCAGGAAACGGGGCCTGCGGCAAACTTCTGCAGATCTTTGCAGGCTGCCGACGATCCCGCTGCCCCCCCCGCCGCCCTTATCCGCAACTGCGGGGTGCCACGTGTATGTGGTGTGAGCTTGAGGTTAAAAAGCTATCTGGTGCCAGCTATGGCGTGTAGGCTAATTCTATGACGTAAGCTTTGTGGTGCACACCGTGCAGACTGTGTGGTGAAGGCTCAGAGCACGGGCGCCCTATGCGCGCCCACGACGTAGCACGCGCGGCACCGTGGCGCACAGTCGGCGGACCCACCCAGCGCACGTGGCGCCCACGAGCGCCCACGCGGCTGCACGGGCGCGAGCGCGGCGCACCCTCGGCGGACTCAGCAGGCGCACGGGGCGCCCGTGCACGCCCACGGGGCGGCACAGGCGGCGCAGTATCGGGGGACCCACCCCGGGCACGGGGCGCCCGTGCGCGCCCCGGAGGCAGCACGGGCAGCAACGTGGCTGCAATCTCGGTGGACCCACCCAGCGCACAGGACGCCCACGACCGCCGACAAAGGCGGCACGTCCGAGAGAACCCGGCGGGCCCGCCCAGTCTCTTGCCAAAGACGAGACCCTAGTGGCAAACACTGTCCGGGGAAGATATCCATGCGTCCGAAGTGGAGCGTTCCCCAGGCTTCTTGAGTTCTCCTTACCATGCGGTGGCAGGGGTACCCCACTCTCAAATATCAAAAATTCTTGGAGGTCCCGCGCGCTGCCGCGCGCTCCCAGGCTTCAGCGTTCATCTTTTCCAACGGCAAGAAGGCATGCCGGGCCAAGAGGGCCCAACGAGGCTCCTAAGAGGGTCTAAGATGGCCCTGAGTCGCCCAAAGAGAGCCCCAAACGCTCAAGATGGTCCATGGACGGTCCAAGATTACCCTCCAAGAGTCCAAGAGCCCCCCCAAGAGGGCCCAACGATGCCAACATCATTGAGTTGCCTGAGGTGGTCAAACAATGTTGGTGCTTTCCCCTTTTCGGGCTTTCGACGTTCCAGGACGGTCCACGAGGCCCGGAGATCTCCCACCGACTGCCCGAGAAGCCCCCAAGAGCGCCCCCAGAGCGCCCCCAGAGCGCCCCAAGACGGCCCCCATAAAACTCCAAAAGAGGGGCCCAAAGGGCCAACACGAACCATCAGTGCCAGCCCTTCGCCCCAAGGTGGCCTCTAAAACCACCGGCAGGCCACCCAAAAGGCCCCCCACAGGCTCCAGGAGGCTCCCATGAGCCCACATCGGGCCCCAGGGAGGCCCCCACGAAAGCCCGAGAGGCCCCCAGGACACTCCAAAACCGAATCCAAGAGGCTTCCGAGAGGCCTCCCAATGAAGGGGCCCTGGGACACACAAATAAATACACACAAATAAAAGGATTCCCAATATTTTCCGATATTTTCTTGGTGTTTGTCTTCCCCACCACTTCCCATATTTTCCAATATTTTCTAGGGAATCGACGATTAATTGTGTCTGTGTGTTTTTCCCCTCCTGATCCAGGAGGCTCCCAAGAGGCCCACATCGGGACCAGGGGAGGCCCCCCACGAAGACCCGAGAGGCCCCCAGGACACCCCCAGGACACCCCAAAGCCGAATCCAAGAGGCTTCCGAGAGGCCTCCCAGGAGATCCTCACGGGCACCCCAGAAGACCCGAGAGGCCCCCAGGACACCCCCAAGACACCCCAAGACCGAGTCCAAGAGGCTTCCGAGAGGCCTCCCCACAGAGCCTCACGGGCACCCCAGAGGCCTCGGACCTGTGACCTGCAACCTGGGCAAGGTGGCGGGAGGGGCTGCAGGCCACTGCGCGCGCGCGCGCTCGGGTTCTGACGCGCTGCGGCCCTCGACCACAGAACAGCTGTACATGTGCAAGCCTGCGCATCCATTCAACAACAGGTGCGATGTCACTTAGCAGGATAGGATATCATCATGTTTACTTTAGATGTATGTTGTCCCTCCTCCTCGTACGGAGTCTCTTCTCAGCCGCAGCCGCGAGGAAGAGGAAGAGTCGGGAGGAGGCAGGGTCACCATCTTCCGCATTCGAGCCCGCAGTTCACCCCTGTCCGAGGGAAGGCGGAGAATCAGGAGGTCGAGGAAGAGGAATGGCGAGGGGGAGGACGGTCAGGATCAGGGTCGGAGCTCCGAAAGGGCTTCCTGCCGTGGCCAGCTACGAGCATGAAGCAGGAGGAGGACGATAGGGCGGATGAGAAATGCAGGGCGACAATAGAGGGCAGACAATCCACTCTCATAGTAAGCACCTCGACACGCGAAGCCGTCTAGAAAACCCACCCACAGAAGGAATCAAATAGGGCATGGCTGTTTAGTAAACGGCCAGGGCCGTTCAGAAACTGCCAACTATCGGGTCCGCGTGGTGTTTCCTGCCTTGAGACAAGGACCTCCGTCTCCGTCCTCAAGTAGTGGATCTGCGCTGGACCCCCCTCCCTGACGCCGCGCGGAGCGCGCCAAGGGCGGCGCCGGAGACGCCGCGGGGGGGGGGGGGGGGGGGGCACCGCGCATCTAAGAAATCCGCGCGGAGCGCAAACACTTTATGTTTGTGGTTCCTTTCTTTCTCGAGGCAAAGACCTCTGTCTCCGCCCTCAAGTAGTTCACCCGCTGCTGCGTGGCGTCCGTCTCGAAGAGGGCCGAGGGGTTCAGCAGGCGCTGGCCACCCGCGCCGCCGCGGCCCTCTCTCCCCCTTCCGCGCCTCTCCTGGCGCCTGCCTCCGAGTACCTCCGCCCATCTCCCCTCTCCCCGCCCCGATTGCCTTCTCTCTCTCCCTCTCTTGGGACGGACGTACCAATACTAGATGTCCTCCTTGGAGGCGCGCGTCCGACCCGACCTTCTAGTACACCGATCTTGCAGTATATCGTTTCCCGAGCGGTGTGGTCAGAAAGCGCAGGCCACGACGCATATACTACAAGATTGCTCGGTGCGCGCGTCCCCCCTGGGGGGCGACGCACACATAGTTTGTTGGGGTGACGCATCTCTATATATATATATATATAGATGTTCCTCTCTCTATCACCTTTTGTTTGTTCTTTCTCTCTCTCTCTCTCTTTCTCTCTCTCGCCATTTCTCTCTACGCCTACCCGATCTGAGTACATCCCACCCTCTCCGTGTATGGACATGCTTTACACACAAAATGTCGTTGCGCCATCGATCTCTCAATATGGTGCTCCCGCTGCCGCGTGGGCCTCATTTTCGGATCGGCGCATTGCTCCCGTCGTTCAGAATTGCGCTCGCTCTCGCCAAAGCGCGGGCAACTTTTTCTGAACCCGAGCCCTTCCTGACCTGCCGCCCCGCTTCTTTCCCCCCCCGCCCCACGCCTTCCCCTGGTCATCCTGCTCTTCCCTCTCTTTCCACTCCTGCTCCTGCTGCTGTTGCTGTACCTTCTCGTCCTGTCAAACCTCTCAGACCTGGCGGACACTCTGTCATTCCGTGAACAACCAGTGCCGACAACAAAAGATATGGATCCAAGGACGGTTCAGGTGAGCCCATGGAGGACCAGGAAGGGAAACCAGGGGCAGGGAGGGAAAAGAAGGGGAGCGACGAAAAGGGGAAGGAAGGGCCCAACCTGTACTGCCCCTGGGAGAAACCCTCTCAGGAACTCATTCCTCAACTTCCTCATCTTCCTTCTGCTCGTCCCCCTGGTGGTCGTGCAAGCCTTCTGCGAAGCACTCGGTCTGATACGCATCAGCTGCCATGTCAGAGGGCTCGGCACCCTGAGCCCCCTTCCCCTTTCCCGTCCCCTATCGGCTCTATCGGCCTCGGCACGGTGTGTTCGCACCAACAACTCCCCGTTGCCCACGACTGCTCAAACAATCGTCCGACCTGTAGATAGCACGGGTGCGCCTGGCCAGCGCACTGCGATGCAATCAACATCGGGCGACAACACCTCTGATGCATGGGCCTCCCAATGCGAGCGCGGAGCGCTCCTTGATGGACGCGCGGCCGACTACGGAGTGCCTCGCCAGGTACTTCATCGCGCCGTTGGTCCTCTCCGTCATGTCCTTCAGCTCCGTGAGGTGGAGCACCGGAGCCTGCCCGCCCGCCCCTGCTATACCCTGCGGACCACCAGCCACGGAGCGACCACGACCGCCGCTGGGCAGGCCTGGGGTTGCCCACAGACCGCCCCCTCCACCAGGGGGGAACTGGGTCCTGAGGGCAACGGGTCCTGGACCCTGGGGCCTTCCTCCAAGACGAACTCCTTCTCCTGCGTCGTGTTCTGACCGTCCTGGGGCCCCTGGAGGGCCCCGAGAGCTCGAAAACGGACGAAAACCTCAGGACCCGTTTCCCTCAGGACCCGTTTCCCCCATGTCGCGGGCGGACGCATTGAAATAAGCAGAGGCGCCATGAAATCTGGGGAGATATCATGGCCCCCGCCATGGTGCCTCCCCCCCTGTAGACAAGCGCGTTCCACTACTCCCAAAACAACTACTCGCAAATGTCCTGGATTCGCCGCGAGGGATATGCGACTCATTACATCGAAACAGACGAATGCTCTTCGGACGTTTGTGTGTAGGCACCTTGCGAGTATCCTTCCCAATCTTAGGTCGGGCATGTCACATGCCCCCCTACTGGCGGATTTTGAAGGGAAACGTAGACATACTCAAACAACTCAAAAGTAGTCAAAAATGATAAAGAACATTCCCCGACCATGTCTTAAACGACTGCTTCTGAATATTGCTCCTGTCGAGGGACATGCCCGGCTCGACCCTAGTCACCACCCCCCTCTCTGCCGCCACCGACCGTGGGCGGCAGCTGCGGGGGGGTCTGGCTCCCGATCTCTGCCTCGTGCGACGGCGTGTAGCGATGCGCCCTATACTTGGGGGAGGCCCCACCTGCTTGCACCGGGCGACAAAGGCAGCCAAGATCTACAGGGCAGTTTTAAATAATAGAATTTTGGCAATATAGGATTTTAAAACATGACTAATTTATGAATGAATTTAATACATGATCCGCACGCGGAACATGTATGAAAAAACAGCACTGTAAGTCCTCCGCGGGGAAGGGGGGTGGGGAGGGGGGGCTGCGAGAGGGCCCGCGCCGATCGGCGAGAGAACGAATCAGAGAACGATCGCCAGCGCAAGCTGGCCTCCACAGACCCCCTGTGGCCCGGGGCGGCCACCGTCGACGTCGTCGTCGTCGTCGTCGTCGTCGTCGTCGTCCAAGCCAGCGCGAGCCCGCGCGAAGCAGCCTTCTCCGACAGCAGGGGGAGGGGCCGAGCTTCCACCCCACTGCCGTAGTTAGGGCGCGGGGAGATGGGAGGATCGGGAGGTCCTCCTCCTCCTCCTCCTCCTCCTATTTCTCCTCCGCGTCCTCCTCCTCCTCATCCCTCTCCTGTTCCCTTTCCTTCTCCTCCTTTTCCTCCTTCTCCTAGTGGTGGTGGAACATCGGCCCATCATGAAGGCCTCGTAGGTGGGGTTCGAGTGGATGAGGTCAGAGGATCGCGCCCCATCGCCGATGCATCGCCGATGGATCGGCGACGTCGGCGGCGTATCGGCGACGCCGGCGCGGAGAAAATCGGGTTCCACATCGAGCAGCATCGACTGTGCATCGGCGATGTGGCGTGATACTCCGACCCCATTTTCTCGGACCCCATCTGGGAGGCCTAGACACAGCTCGCGCGCTTGCATCCCACGCGGCTGATCACATGTCGTCTCACCCGCGGCCCGCGCGGGCTGGCGGCTCCTGCAGCCGCCGCCTCTTCGCGGCGCTCCCCGCGCCCTGGCCTGGCTGTGTCGAGAGGCCACCGCTGGGCCGCAGCGTCCAGCAGGTGCCATCCTCTTGGGAGTACGCGGACGAAGGGGGAGGCCGGGTGACCGTGAGAGATTTAGATGCTGACCCCCGCCCTCGGAAGCCGAACGCCTGCTGGGAATAAGCGTGGCGCCCAGACCTCGGAGCCCGTGCGTGGGCGGCACCACATGTGAGCGATGGGGTCCGTGCGCGAGTGTGGAAGGCTAATGCCATGACGACGTGGGCCCCAGTCTCTGGCACCGCGCGAATTCCTCGACGTTGCGTGACCTCCGCTCTCAGAACTCCAGAAACAAAAAAAAAAACTCGACCTCATCTTTCGAAGGGATGTCAGGCCGCGGGATGTCGGGCCGGGGCCGAAACCGTTCAACGTCCAGCGATCTCGACTGTCAGAGGTCGGGACATTCCTGACTCCATCGTTCGCAAGGATTTCTTGGGAGTCCCGAAACGGTGCGGCCAGGCACCGGGCGGTGACCCCAGGATTGTTCTGGCCAGGAAAGGTTGCCACTCAAGGCCCCCCCCCCCAAAAAAGGGCCCGCGGCGGGGTTCGCGCGAATCCCATCCTGCGCCCGCGAACGACACATGGGATCCACCGCAACTCAGGGACACCCCGAGCCAACCTGCTATACCACTGCTGCTGCAGTAATTGCCTCGACCTCTGCTGCAGCGGCGGCAAGCACCCTGAAAGCCCACCGCGGCACCTGGCCGTGGGCTGCTCTCTGGAGGCCCCGGGGCCGCCCACCCGCGCGCCGCACCGGCATGCCTACAGTCGGGGCGTTGACCCAAGGAACCCTAAACAAGGAATGAGGCCTCTTTTATCCATAAGTGAAACTTCGGCTTCCCACCGAAGACCTAAGGAAAACCTTAGGCAAGCTGTGAAACAATCAAGGAACACCGAGCCCCTTCCCAACGAAAAGGGTTCCTTCGATAGCGCCTCGACTGTATGCACTGCAGCCCGAGGCCTGGCGTCTGTCGTTCGAGCGCTCCGGGCCGAGCCTGGCCCTGGCAGGGCGCTCCACCTGAGACGCCCGCGCGAGCGTCGCCGCCGCCACGAGACGGCACGAGACCGCCGCACGGGGCCCGAACCCCCGACGCCATGGTTTGTTATATACGTCGGCCCTGAGAGTCTTGCCATGCGCCGAGGCCGGTTCTCGTGTCAAGTCGTTTTTTGACGGCACTGGAGCCGGGCAAAGGCCCCCAGAGGCGCGTCCCCGAAACAATGGCCGGTGAGGGTGACGTACCCAACCCTTTGTCGAAACATATGGAGCATGTGTAGAGGACCACCCACTGCAAATGTTAAAGGACCCGCAGTGCTGCGCTCGCTCCATTGCAGAACATCGCGTCGCGCTGAGCGAGGCAAGCGCGCGGGGTTGCATGGCGGGCCAGATGCAGCTGAGGATGGGAGGCGACGCGCGCAAAGAAACAACGCCATGAGCTGCGTGGCGCAGCGGCTCCCTACGAGCTGGGATGCGACAGCGCCGAGCGCTGTGTGACGGGACAGCGCCGCGCGCTATGGAAACCCCTGGCTTTTCTGATGCGAGTACTTGTCGTCAGTTGCACTTCTCGTCGCGATCGCTCAGGAATCCACGAGATTGGCGACAGTTGCGCACTTCGCGACCACACAGGGAGCCGCGAGGTCCCTCTAATGGATCCCCGTAGAATTACACTCTGCTGGAACTCCCTGGAACCCACGAGCGTGGTGACAGTTGCGCACTTCGCAGCCCCCACGGGAGCCGCGGTCCCAGCTGGGGGTGCGTACCACTCCACTCCGCCCGACCTCTCAGGAGCTAACGAAAATGGCGACAATTGCGTAATTCGCCGCCCCCCAAGGAGCCGCGAAGACCCAACTGGGTCTGTGTACCTCTCCTCTCCGCGCGACATCCCAGGACCATGACGGAAATTGCGACACTTGCGCACTTCGCAACCCACCAGGGAACCGCGAGGTCCCAACTGGGTCCGCGTACCACTGCAATCCGCGCGACCTCCCGGAAACCCAAAACCATGACGACCATTCCACGCAAGAAGCCGCGAAGTCCCAAACTGGGTCCGCGTACCACTCCACTCCGCTGGACCTCCCATGAGCCCACGAACGCGGCGTCAAGTGTGCAAGTCGCAACCACGCAGGGAGCCGCGAGGCCCCAACTGGGTCCGCGTACCACTCCACTCCGAGCGGCCTCCCAGGAGCTCACGATGAAGGCGACAGTTGCGCAATTCGCAGCCACACGGGGAGCCGCGAAGCCCCCTCTGGGTCTGTGTACCACTCCACTCCGCGCGACCTCCCAGGCGCCCACGAACGTTGCAACAGCTACGCACTTCACAACCCACCAAGGAGCCGCGAGGCCTCACCTGGGTCCGCGTACCACTCCACTCCGCGCGACCTCCCAGGAGTCCACGATATAGGCGACAAATGCGCAAATAACAACCACGCCAGTAGCCGCGAGGTCCCAACGGGTCTGCGTACCACTGCAATCCGCGCGAGCAGGGAGCCGCGATATCCCAACTAGGTCCGCGTACCACTCCACTCCGCTGGAACTCCCTGGAGCCCACGAAGAGTGGCGACGATTGCGCCCTTCGCAGCCACGCAGGTAGCCGCGAGGTCCAAACTGGGTCCGCGTACCACTCCACTTCGCTGGACCTCCCAGGAGCCCACGAAAGTGGCGACAGCGGCGCGGTTCGCGGCCCCCTCAGGGAGTTGCGGGGCCTCCCAGAAGCGCTGGGCCTCCCAGAAGCCCGCGAAGTGGCGACAGCTGCGCGGTTCGCAGCCACCCGAGGAGCAGCGAGGGAGACGACAGGAGGGCGGAGGAGGGGGGAGAAGGAGAAGACTCGACCTTAGGAGGGAAAGGCCGAGGAGGAGGAGGAGGCGGAGGAGGCGGAGGGAGGGGAGTAGAAGAAGACGACTCTCTTCAGAACGAGAAACCGACACGGCACGGCTGGGAGGAAGCCTCCCGCCGTGATTTTCTCCCATGGGCTCGAGGCGCCTGCGGGGCCCCAGCTCCGACCGCCGCGCGGGGAGGGGGACCCGACCACGCCCGAGCGAGCGCCGTCGCCGCCTCGATGCGGCACGATCGGGGGCGACGACGGGGGCGAACGGCCCAGAAGGAACGGAAGAAGAGAAGGCGGCAGAAGCACAAACTCTTGGCGCTCCGCGCAGATCTCCTGGATCCGCGCCGGAACGCGCCGCAGGGGCGGCGCCGGGGGGGCGGCGCCGGGGGGCGCCGCCGGGGGGGCCCCAGCACCGCCGATGCAGGAAATCCGCCCGGAGCGCCAAAAGTTTGCGCATGGCGTTTTTCTTCTTCTAAACAAGGGCTCCCAACTTCGCGCTCTCGCGCCGCCCCCCCAAAGGGAGAAAAGGAGGACGAGGAGGAGGGGGAGAAGGAACGAGGACCGCGAAGCGCGAACCGCGAATAACTTCGCGCCCTCGTGGGAGCCCTTGCTAAACTAGAGGCCTCCTCGATGGGGTCCGAGAAGATGGGGTCGGAGCATCGCACCGCATCGCCAGTGCATCGCCGATGCATCGCCGCTGCATCGGCGATGCGTCGGCGACGCAGCGGCACCACCTCGAGCCGCACTGTCAGTGCATCGGCGATGCGGCGCGATCCTCCGACCCCATCTGCTCGGACCCCCCCTCAAGAGGCCCATACAGGGGGCCACATGCGAACCCTACCCCTACACACCACGATTTCTGAGGGGGAGGGGGGGGGGGACCCTGGGGCCAGGCTGAAGTCGGGCCTGTCCCCCTGCAGGGGGATTTTCGACGAAAAATGAAACATATCCCAAACATAGTCAATCAAAAATAATCCAAAAATAGTCCGGGGACTATTTTTTTAGTATTTGTTTTGCCCATTTTGGGGCATTTTTGGGAATGCTCTTGTATTTTTCGTGGAGAATCCCCCTGCAGGGGGACACGCCCGACGTAAGGCCAGGCCCGCGCCGAGCCGGGGCGGCTCCCACTCGTGCCAGCCGCGCGCCATCTCCGGGGCCTGCAGGTCGGCCCCCAGCGGCGCCCCCAGCAGGCCGGACCTGGCGCCCCCCTGGATCTTCCGCAGGTCCCCGCCGACGGAGGCCTTCCACCTGCCGCGGGCGGGCTCCGCCCGCGCCTCGCCCGCCCCCCTCCCCCCTCCCTCCCCCTCTCCCCCCCCGCTCCGCCGACCTCCCCCTCCCCCCTCCCCTTGCCCTCTCCTCCTCCCCTCCGCCGACCTCTCCCCCGCCCCCCCCCCCCTCCCCCCTTGCGGGCGCCGCGGCCTGCTCAGAGCGTTCCAGGATGGGATGATCCTCGTCGCAGCCCCGTCCGACCTCCCCCCTTTCCCTCTCTTGCTCCTGAGCAGGCCGCCCGATCTCGCGCTTCGCGCCGCGCGGGGCCCTGCGCGCGAACAAGAGGGCAGCCATGCGACCCAGACCGCGAAGCGCGAGCAGTCGCGGCCATCTTTGAGAGCCATCGGGTGACCTGGCGTTGACCCCCCCCCCCGCCCGTACAGCCAGATCGCACAGCAAACATGAGCAATTTTCAAAGGTAACCCTTGCATCCTTGCCCCTGCGGCCCTCGCTGACCGCGCCCCGTTCGACAAAAACGTCAACATGGCCGTCCGAGGCCATTGCATGCTGACCGCGCATACCAAATATCGGCGGCGAGCCCAGGGGGGGGTGAGAAGGGGCGGGCCTTCTCAGAAGGCTCGGAAGGTCCCCGGCCTTCTGAGAAGTGTTCCAAGCCTTCTCCGAAGACACAGAAAACCTCTCAGAAGGCCAGAGGGCTTCTGAGAAGTCCCGCCGCCTTCTGAGAAGGCCTTCTCCTTCACATTTCCCCCCCTCGCTAGCCGTCGAAGCCTGGAGGGGGCAGGAGGATGAGGATGAGGATGAGGATGAGGTCGAGGAGGAGGAGGATGAAAAGGAGGACGAGGTGGAGGAGGAGGAGGACGAGGAGGAGGACGAGGAGGAGGAGAAAGAGAAGGAGCGCTTCTGAAAAATCCCGCCGCCTTCTCAGAAATCCTTCTCTTTGGACGCCCGGAATGGGTACGGAACAAATATTTACAATGCCCAACATCCAAATGTTGTCCCAAACCACCTGCGGCCGCTGCTGGGCAGGCGGCCTTCTGTCTCAAATGGGCACAGGCCGCGGCGGCACGGACAACGCACCCGTTCTTTCCGTACCCGCTTCTCCCCCCCCCCCGGCTGTCCTCGGGGATCTTCTGACCCGGGTCAATCCAGACCCGGGTCAGCAAGAAACTAAAGCTGCAATGTAAGAAAAAACTGCAACGCAGGTCTTCGCAAACCAGGGTCCGCCAATAGGCGCGGCCGCCTCGCGGCCACGAGCGGCTCCCTAACCCGGGTGCCAGCCAGAGGGGGTCTTCGCAGGATCCCGCAGGATCCGGTGCCCTGGCCGACCCCCGTTTGCATTGACCCCCGTCTCTTGAGCCCCGATGTCCGCCGACCTCGGGCCCGCCGGCGCCGTGCCCGAGAGGCCGCGGCCAGCCTCCCCGTGCGGATGCCCCCCGCCTCCTGGGCTCGTGGGGTCGCGCATCCCGGCTCCACGCCGGGAGCCGTGCGAGCGCCGCGTTTCTTCTTTCCCAACCATCCTGTGGTGTTGGGCCCTCGTTTTGAAGATACGTCGCCCCGCGTTCCTTCCTCCTCCTCCTCCTTCCTCCTCCTCCCTTTCATCCCTCTCCTCCCCCTCCCACATCCATTCTGGCACACCCCTCACACGTTTCGTGGCCCCATAGGGAGCTCCACCGAAGGCCCCAGTGGCTGCGCCCGCATGCGGTTCCACCCCCCATTCTGGCACACCCCTCACACGTTTCGTGGCCCCATAGGGAGCTCCACCGAAGGCCCCAGTGGCTGCGCCCGCATGCGGTTCCACCCCCCATTCTGGCACACCCCTCACACGTTTCGTGGCCCCATAGGGAGCTCCACCGAAGGCCCCAGTGGCTGCGCCCGCATGCGGTTCCACCCCCCATTCTGGCACACCCCTCACACGTTTCGTGGCCCCATAGGGAGCTCCACCGAAGGCCCCAGTGGCTGCGCCCGCATGCGGTTCCACCCCCCATTCTGGCATACCCCTCACACGTTTCGTGGCCCCATAGGGAGCTCCACCGAAGGCCCCAGTGGCTGCGCCCGCATGCGGTTCCACCCCCCATTCTGGCACACCCCTCACACGTCTCGTGGCTCCATAAGGAGCTCCACCGAGAGCCCCAGTGGCTGCGCTCGCATGCGGTTCCTGCCCGCATTCTCGCACACCCCTCACACGCTTCGTGGCTCCATAGGGAGCTCCACCGAACGCCCCAGTGGCTGCGCTCGCATGCGGTTCCACCCCCCCATTCTGGCACACCCCTCACACGTTTCGTGGCCCGGGGGCGCCACCGAGGAATATATCCACACTTGCGGTATTCACAACTACGTATGGTTGGGTCTTTCGTCAGGCTAATTTGTTTTGCTCTGTGCTGTTCCTGTTTGTTTGTTGTTCCCAACCATCCTGTGGTGGGTCTGGGCCCTCGTTTTGAAGAGACGTCGCCCCGCGTTCCGTCCTCCTCCTCCTTCCTCCTCCTCCCCTTCCTCCCCCCTCCTCCCCCTCCCACACCCATTCTGGCACACCCCTCACACGCTTCGTGGCCCCATAGGGAGCTCCACCGAAGGCCCCAGTGGCTGCGCCCGCATGCGGTTCCACCCCCCATTCTGGCACACCCCTCACACGTTTCGTGGCCCCATAGGGAGCTCCACCGAAGGCCCCAGTGGCTGCGCCCGCATGCGGTTCCACCCCCCATTCTGGCACACCCCTCACACGTTTCGTGGCCCCATAGGGAGCTCCACCGAAGGCCCCAGTGGCTGCGCCCGCATGCGGTTCCACCCCCCATTCTGGCACACCCCTCACACGTTTCGTGGCCCCATAGGGAGCTCCACCGAAGGCCCCAGTGGCTGCGCCCGCATGCGGTTCCACCCCCCATTCTGGCACACCCCTCACACGTTTCGTGGCCCCATAGGGAGCTCCACCGAAGGCCCCAGTGGCTGCGCCCGCATGCGGTTCCACCCCCCATTCTGGCACACCCCTCACACGTTTCGTGGCCCCATAGGGAGCTCCACCGAAGGCCCCAGTGGCTGCGCCCGCATGCGGTTCCACCCCCCATTCTGGCACACCCCTCACACGTTTCGTGGCCCCATAGGGAGCTCCACCGAAGGCCCCAGTGGCTGCGCCCGCATGCGGTTCCACCCCCCATTCTGGCACACCCCTCACACGTTTCGTGGCCCCATAGGGAGCTCCACCGAAGGCCCCAGTGGCTGCGCCCGCATGCGGTTCCACCCCCCATTCTGGCACACCCCTCACACGTTTCGTGGCCCCATAGGGAGCTCCACCGAAGGCCCCAGTGGCTGCGCCCGCATGCGGTTCCACCCCCATTCTGGCACACCCCTCACACGTTTCGTGGCCCCATAGGGAGCTCCACCGAACGCTCCAGTGGCTGCGCTCGCATGCGGTTCCACCCCCCATTTCGGCACACCCCTCACACGCTTCGTGGGTGGCTCCATGGGGAGCTCCACCGAACGCCCCAGTGGCTGCGCTCGCATGTGGTCCCCCCCCCAATTTCGGCACACCCCTCACACGGTTCGTGGCCCCATAGAGAGCTCCACCGAAGGCCCCAGTGGCTGCGCTCGCATGCGGTTCCACCCCTTTTTTTTCGGCACGCCCTTCACACGTCTCGTGGCCCCATAGGGAGCTCCACCGAACGCAGCAATGGCTGCGCTCGCATGCGGTTCCACCCTCCATTTCGGCACACCCCTCACACGCTTCGTGGCTCCATAGGGAGCTCCACCGAAGGCCCCAGTGGCTGCGCCCGCATGCGGTTCCACACCCCATTCTGGCACACCCCTCGCACGTTTCGTGGCCCCATAGGGGGCTCCACCAAAGGTCACAGTGGCACTGCCCGCTTGCGTCCGCCACCACCCAGCACAGCCCTTGTTCCCTGCGCGTCACCCACACAGAACAGCGCTTCGTAACCCTATTGGGAGCTCCACCCAAAGGTCCCAGCGGCACCGCCCGCATGCGTCCGCCACCACCCTGCACAGCCCTTGCTCCCTGCCTACGTTTCACCCACCCAGTACAGCGTTTCGTGGCCCCATAGGGAGCTCCACCGAAGGTCCCAGTGGCACCGCTCGCATGCGTCCGCCACCACGCAGCACAGCCCTTGCTGACCGCGTCTCACCCACCCAGTACAGCGTTTCGTGGCCCCATAGGGAGCTCCACCGAAGGTCCCAGTGGCACCGCCCGCATGCGTCCGCCACCACCCAGCACAACTGCGGCATTCACAGCTTCATATGGTTGGGTCCTTCGCCAAGCTAATTGCTTTCTCTTTCTTTCTCTTTCTCTGTCTCTTCCTCACTCTCTCTCTTTCTCTCTCTTTCTCTCCCTCTTTACTGACTGCCCACCAAGACCACCCCAACCCAACCAGAACACTAGAATTTGTCGGGTTAGGAGGCGGGGTACAGGCTCCATCCGTGTTTCTTCAACGTGTTCCCCGACGCCCCCCCCCCACTGGGAGTGGAGCGCAGATTGGAGCGTTCGGGTTGAGTTGGGGTGGTTTGCTGGGTGGTGAGTCACTCCTCCCATCACTCTCCATTTGGTGCTTCGGCGCCGCCCTCGTCAAAATCCGAATGATTACTTGCACGCTCCTCCCCATGGAGGAAGAGGAGGAGGAGAATATTCATCCATGTGATGGCCTTCGGGCCTCAGGCAGCATCCCGAAGGTCCAGGGGGGGGCGCCAGGACAGGTCTGGAATGCCCTGTACGACGAGGACGACGGGGAGGAGTAGGAGGAGGAGGAGGAGGAGGAGGAGGAGGAGGAGGAGGAGGAGGAGGAGGAGGAGGAGGAGGAGGAGGAGGAGGAGGAGGAGGGGTGGGGTGGGTTTGGGGGGGAAGCGCCCCCAGGACACTCCTGAGAAGATCCCCCCGAACGGCCCAGGGACCTCCGAAGACAGCCTCGAAAGGCCTGAACGCTACCCCAGATGGGCCAAGATGAGGCCATGGCAAGCTCCAAGCAGGCCGAGGCCCTGAGGAGACCCGCAAGAGCCATGCAAGACTAAAGCCGTATCACGCTGAAGCGTCGCTGAGCATCTTCTCCCAGCATTGTGGCGGAAACGCGCAGCAGCGCAACCATGAGAAGTGTATGTGTGAATCTACGTGCTGTGTCAGGCTCTTGCTTCTATGTTGCAACAGCGCGAGTGTTTGACAACACATGTGCGCATCGATGAGACCGTCACCGCGCTTCGCCGCGGTTGGTGTATCGGGTCTTTGCCGCGTCACAGTCCTGGACAACCTGTTTTTGTTCGGCCCTGGCTCGCCACTGCACATATCTAGGCAATATCTTTCTGCATCGCTACTTCAAGAGGCAATCCACTTCTGCCCCTCCCCCGGCGGGTAGCAGAACCCCCTCCGCCACCTCCAAATAATCAATTATTTGGCGCGATGGGGGTAAAAAGAACAGTGCGGGTCGGGCACGTTGCGTTTTGCTCAAACGGCCAAACTTCCCGCGAATCAACATCGAGATCCCCGTCCATACCGTACCGATCCTGACGTACCGCACGCTCAAACAAAAATACGATATACGCATAGAACTGTCCACGCAACGCGAGACACTCCTCCCGCACAAACACGTTCGCTACTGAAAGAATGTGTACAGTGCCAAACAACAACCGTTGTCCAATAGCGACATCGGCCGCTCTTATGCAGGCGGCTCTCTGTCTTCAGCGGACAGAGTCCGCGGCGGCGCGGACAGCAAGTCCTGCTCGAAACCAACAGGAGCTGCTGTTGGGCATCGTAGGTGCCCCTCCTTTCCGCACACGCTTCGAACGTCCCTTCCAGAACTCTCCACCTCGCCGACGGTCGGAAGCCGGGCAACGGCTGCTAAATCCGTGGCTGCTAAAATCGACCTCCGGAAGGTTGTCTTCGTCCTTGGGGAAAGAAGCCCGTTGACTGCTTCGCGTGCCGCGCCTCAGTCCGGGAAGTTGTTGTTTCCTTCCGGGAGGGCCGTTTTCGCAGCCACGGTTTTAGCAGCCCTCGCCCAGCGTTCGAGACGGGACGGTTGTTCGGTCGCAGGCAGCCGTCTGCGGAACCCAGGGCCCCGCAGCGGCCCTCCAGAGGCCCGGGGCCTCTCCGGGGTGCCGCCGCCGTGCCGCCTCCGCGACGCCGGGCGCCTGGGACGGACGACCCAGCAGGACCACCCCAACCTAACCCGAAAACCCGAACCCAACTACTACTAACATTAATACTACTACGCTTACCACTTATATCTCTACTACTACTCTTACCGCTGGTAGGTGTAAGACGAGTATTAACTTGCTTGTGACTTTATACTTTCGATGCCCTTGAGCAACAAACAAAATGAACTCGCAAAGTCATACTTTTTGTCTCGGGGGGGGGGACCCAGCGGTCGGAAGAGGCAGGTAGAAGCACGAAACGGGAGGGCGTTGGAAGTAGACTGGGTCTGTGCCCGCCCCCTGGCGAGGACGGAAGAGAGGCAGCCACTCGATCACTGGAGTAGGAAGGCGCTCAAAGTACTTTGGAACCTGGGATTCCCCAAATGCCTATTTTCGACGGCCAATGGGTACGGGCTTCACATGTGATTATTCGATGTTCCCCGACCCCCTCCCACTAGAGATGGAGGGCTAATCGGTGCCTTCCGGTTGGGATGGGTGGCTTGGTGGGCGGGGCGTCGAGGCCTGAAGCACAGGAGTTCGAGTAGGGGATCGACTACAGACTTGATTTACCCCAAAAATTGATTTGCCAGTCGAATCTACGAGACATGCGAAGGTTGTTGTACATGTACTCGCAATCTACGTACTCTTGGTCGAGTCGACGAGGAGATCAATTTTTGGGCAAATCAATTCTGTAGTCGATACCCTACTCGAGGAGTGGCGGGGCTGGGCCTACGCGGGTCGGCCGCAGTCGTGGCTTTTTAGGGCTGGCCCGCGGGCCTGGACTCGCTGGGGTCCCAGAACAAAAAGTACTGCTTGTCTGCAGTCCAATACGTCTCGCGATCGCCGACCGTCTGGCGGAACAGGCGGCACTCGGTGAAGCTCGTGTTCAGGGCGGCCCGATCAAAGCCATGCAGCCAGACCGTCCTCAAAGCCGCCGCGAAGGTGCCGATGGCAACTATGCCAGCATTCTTCCGACGGACCCACTCCTTTCCATCGAACTCCATCCAGCCAGTGAGACTCGAAGGGAACAAGATGTCGTTGTCGAGTGGCGCACTAATGAAGGCCGACTTCCCGCCAACTCTGACCTTTGCAAAATCCTGTGCACGTGTCCCCTTCCACCGGGACTCAGACACATCCCAATACAAGAAGAACTGCCCGTCCTGGGACCAGAAGGTCTCGCGCTGGTTGACGGTAAATTCCCCTTGGTTGCGTTCCACGTACTTGACGTTCATCTCCTGGATCTTGAACCCCTCCAGCGTTACTGTCGTCAACGGTGTCCGGTCCCGCTGCGATAGCGCCATTGCCCGGCCCCACTTGGCAAATTCGTCAGCTGGGTTGAGCTTCAACGCGGCGTTGAAGTCCTGGGGGCTGTGCTGCCACTGCGCTCAAAGTTTGAACACATTTCAGTTACTCGCCGCTTGACGTAGTCTTTCAACGTCTTAAGGGGAAACGCGTAACAGAAACAGACAGATACGAAAGCTGTGTGGAATCGCAAACTTGTAAAACGGTGCGCTACAAGATGCGCGGGGAAACGATACCCGCAAGTGTGGCTTACAGGCATATCTCAATTGATATGTAAACCAATCTAACAGAGGCAGCTTGCACGCCGCAGTACAATGCTGTAAAGCGGGTGCGTGTGACATGCAAAGGAAGATTGCACAAACGCAGGGGCACATCGCACAACACATGTAGGGGAACCAACCGCTCCGTGAAACTCAAAGCGAAAGTACCGGCAACTGCAATGGGACGCGCAGAGACATACTAGTACTGTATGTCCCCCTTGGAGGCGCGCGTCCGACCCGAACATGTAGTATACCCATCTTGCAGTATGAAGATACCGTTTCCCGAGCGGTGTGGCTAGAAAGCGCCCGCCATGACGCATGCACTCTAATATTTCTCGGTGCGCGCGTCGCCCCTGCGGGGGCGACGCGCACATAGGTGGTGAGTTCCATATTTGGCGTTTCGACATTGGGCGGAAGGGGGGGGAAAAAGGGAGTCTGGCTGCGGACCTCTGCTTAAAGCGACTGCTTGGAACCGTGCGTCCTACCGGGGAGACTCCTCCTGCTCGTAACAGGCGCCGAAAGCAGCCAGGATCTGCTCTATGGAGGGGGTGGAGGGGGGGGTGCGAGGGCCCGCGCCGATCGGCAAAACAATGAACAAAAAACGACCACTAGTGCAAGTATCTTGGGGTGACGCCGATGAAGGGGGGGGGGAGGTAGAGGAAAGAGAACTATGCACATACACCGATTCTGGCCAGGCCCATCCTGAGCCCAGGATCGGTGCATAGGCCCTCTTGCCTTGGCCAGGGAGGTATCTGCACCGATCCTGGGTCTCGCCATCGCTCGGACGTCCATTCCCTGTGTTTTTTTTCGGTTTCGTGCGTGGTTTTTTCGCCAAATGATCAAGGATGCTCCTCGATGGTCCTCGCCGAAGGAAAAACGTACACGTCCGAGCGATGCCAAGGGGTCAAGGATGGACGCTGTCAAGATCGGTGCGTGTGCGTAGCTCTCTTCGCCCCGGGAGGCACTTCGGCGGGCGCCGCGGCGGGATCGCCGCGGTCCTCGAGCGCGCACCTCGCCTGCCCCAGGTCCAGCTTGACGGCCCCTCTGCCGGACAGCACGGCCGGGTTCAGCTTCCTCGGGGGCGGGGCGGGGACGCGCTAACCCTCAGTCGGGCATGTCCCTCTACAGGAGGGCAAATCAAAACAGTGAGAAAATAACATGGGGACGATTTTTCGTTATTATCATGATCATTTTAAGATGGTTTAACTTTTCCCTCCAGCATCTGCCTGTAGAAAACATGCCCGACCTAAACCTAACCTGGCTCCACGCAAACCCTGGTCAGTCGGGCGGTGCAGGGTTCCGCAGGATCCTGCACGCTGGCCCGGGTCAGTGTAGCTCTGGCCCTGCAGGATCCTGCAAGGTCCGCCGCCCTGGCTGACCCCCGTTTGAGTTGATCCCCGTCCTCTGACCCCCGAGCGGGGCGGCTTCCGCTCCCCCCTGGGCCTCCCCGGGCCCGGTGGAGGGCGAGATCCTGGTCGTCCTGATTGCCCTGGAGCTCCAAACCCGTTCCTTCGAGTGGAGGTCACGCTTCGGTGCTCTGCGCTGATGCGTTCTAGTGCTGTCGGCCCTGGGCACATGGTCTAGATGCCAACGTTGGATGTGCATTCGTGGTGCGTTTCTTGGTGTTTGCGCTTACCTGTGGTTGAATCGCGCCCTTTTTGTCAAAAGTGGGTTATGGATGTGCGTTGTATATGCGTGCTATTGATGTATGTGCTTGGTTGAAAATGCGGATGGCGGCTCTAGAACTGCTGTGGTCTTTCATCGCATCTCGCTGTATGGTTCCATGGTGCGATAAAGAAAATCCAGAATGTCTCGCAGAGGGAGCCCAGCGGCTGTCGAATCACTGCCAACACCAAGCCGTCGTCAGCTTTCGTATCATACAGGATGCCTCTTGGGCGCCCATGCCAATACAGCTCTGAACTGCTTCCAGGACAATTGATGTGTCAATATGACTATGTCGTGTCTATCGAGAGAGCATGTCATACCATGCGCTGAAGCTTTGCTTCCACATCGAGAGCCTTCCTAAGCCTTCCAATAGGTTGTGGACGGCGCGACGCCGTGACCTGGCGCATCTCCTTGAAGATGCTCTACAATAGGAGTTTGACCACAAGAAATGTTCCACGAGAAACTCACCCTGAAACCCCAGGATGTCCATTGATGTTCGGTCTGGTGGCGTCACGTTTCCCATTGTAAAACAAACGAAACCCAAGACACCCAGGGCACCCTGGAGGCAAGCAAGGTGTTTCTTGGCATGGGCCCCCAGTGTGAATATCCGTGGACGGCGTGACGCCGTGACGCCTGGAAGGCGCGACTCCTCCCCGGCGGGGCTCGGCGAAGAGGGGCACTGAGCGAACCCTGCGAATGATTTAGGATTGTTTGGGCCAGGGCCCTTGGACCGACACACATCCCAGGATTCCAAAATGTTTACGGGACTTTCGTCTCCCCCACCACTTCCTGTATTTTCCCATACTCTCCGGGGGTTCGGCGACTAATTGTGTGTGTTTCCTCTCATCCTGACTGATGGCATATTTGTTCTTTCGAATCACAACCTAGCAGCCCCGACTTGCCGGGTACGTGATAAACAACTGCTGAGCCATTCGTCGTCGTTGTTCTTTCCTTATTCCTCGTCCTCCTTCCTTCTCGAACCCTGGTGACGGCGACCAGACAATGCTCAGAACACGAGTCCTGAGCCTCCCGGGGAGGAAACATTGGGAGGACGGAAATGAAGAAAGAGCAGGGCCAGTGCAACCGGAAGACTCAGCAGGGATGTTGGAATAAACCCTCCCTCCAAACTCTTTCTTAGTAGCTTTATTTCCAGTGCGGAGAATGCCCCGTTGGGGGACAACCGTTTGGAGATCCTGAAGCGCGCCACGACGCCATTCTCGGATTTTCAGCGCCACGATGCTGCGTACTGGCGATCCAGAATCGTGGCAGAACAACGTTCCTGGGATTTCAGAACCGCGACTCAACGTAACTGTGGCGCCCTCACATCTCTGAGTCTTTCCAGCATTCCAAAACAAACTGTGAAAACGAATGTGCGCGGCGCGGAGGAGAGAACCACATGTTCAAAAATTACCCTGGTTCCACCCATGAAGCCCTTGCAAACGTTGAGAACGAATGTGCGCGGCGCTGGGGCGAGAACCACATTTGTAAAAACCAAACGCCATTCATCCGTGCATATGTTGCACATTTGTGTAATCTACTAAACGTGGCGCTAAAATGAGAACCGTATTTGGAAACGGCCCGGCCTCAATCTGCGAAACTATTGCAACGTTTTCACGCAACTGTGCACGACGCTAAGGCGAGAGCGACATTTTGGAAGCGGCCCGCCCAATCTGTGAAACGGTTGTCAATGTCTAGTAAACTTCAAGATCTTAAGCGTCACGGAAGGCTCTAGCAAAACGGCCGGCCTGCCCTTGCGACTGGCCTACGGGTGCAACAAGGAGGAGTCAATTACTAGGAAAAGAACGGTTGAGGAGGACCAATGAAAACAAAGTGCCCAGTGCCGATGTTGAAATCAACCCTCCCTTTGAATTCCTTCTTCGCAGGTCCCTGCAAGGAGTCAGTGTCACTGAGGGAACTGCCACGTTGGAGGATATGATAATCGACTGAATTTCCATAACCGTGCCAGAACATCATCCCTTAGACTACTACAAACGCCGCGAATCAGCGGTACTGTTGCGCCCTGACGATCCTGAACCGTGCCAGAACATGACTCTTGGGAAATCAACGCAGCGACTCAAACGTGACTGTTGTGCCAGAGCATCTTCTCTAGGACGTCAGCCACAAGAGCCCTTCAAGTCGCAAACGCATAAGACGAGAATGTGCGCCGCCCTGCGGCGAGAACTACATTCTGAAAAGAAACTATGCTCCATCCAAGAAGCTGTTGCACGCATTTGCAATGAACGCACGCGGCGTTGAGGCGAGCACAACCTGATGACAACCGCCTGCCCTCCATTCGTGAAGCGCCTGCAACTTTTAGAACGTTTTTTCGGGAAATGCTTGAACCGAACTGGTAAACGTGAACCGGCGGCTCCTGCAACCGAACCGCCCAAACCAACGCCAAAACCAAACCGGCTGAAACTGCGCCGGCTGATTCGAACCGAATCGGCCGATCGGAACCGGCCCGAACGGTCAACCCGAACCGGTGGAGACGAACCGGCCTGCCAAAGAGACCTCCAGGACGGCCCAAGGGGGCCCAAGACGGACCCCGTAAAGTTCCAGCGGCCGACGGCTCCAGGAGGGCTCCAGGAGGGCCAAAAGGGCTCCAGGACGGCCCAAGAGGGCCCCTAGAGGCTCCCCAGAGACGCCCCCCGACGGATGCTACAACAGAGGGGTGCGTTGTAGCATCCGTCGGGGCCCTGTCAGGACCCCAACGAAACGGCCCAAGAGAGCTCCGCCAGGCGCTCCGAGGGCCCCAAGAGGGCCCCCCCTCCCACAGAAATCGGAGGCGGCCCCCCGACGGAGGGCCTCGGCGAGCCGTTTTCGGGCCTCCGGCCTTGGGGCCCAGACCTGGGGCCCGGACCTGAGGTCCGGACCTAGACTTCTGACCCCATGCCCCTCCAGAAAGCGGACCCCGGACCCCTCGCGGTTCGAGGGCGGGCGACCTGGCCCCCAGACCCCCAAGACCCCCAAGACCCCAGAACCCCATCGGCCCGACGACGACGGCGGAGGCCGGGCGGTGGCGGTCATGCGGCGGCGGCCGACGGCGACGGCAACCACAGCGGCGAGGCACACCT